CCTGTGTGAATAAGATACCCAGGGTAATGGCCCACCACACACCCCAACTTTCCCTCCCCCACAAGAGGCTTTAGCTGCAAATCGAGCAAATGGATTCCAACAGAGTCATTAGCACCTGACAAAGACAGACAATTCTTAGAACATGGTCACTGGCAAGGTCAAAGCTCTGTGCTAGGGTCTTCCTCAAGGAAAGTAACCTGTGCAGTCACACAGGGGGCCGCACTCAGAGCGCCCCCTCTTGGTTGAACGCTCTACTGTCTTGAAATTCTTAGTGTATTTTGAACACCACGCCAGCATTTTCATTTTACATCCGGCTCCGCAAATCTTGTCCCCAGTCCTATCCTCTGCCCCTTCTCAGATTACATTTTGAGAGGGAGGATGCAGGCAGAGAAAATGAATGCCTCCAAAAACAAGGAAAAACACACTTCACAAAGTTTGCCTAAGTATTATTTTCCCCATGGGAGAGTCTTCTTCTTGGGGATCCTAGTAAAATCCCTGCAAAAGGTTAACTGTTGAATCCACTATCGTTTTCAGAAAAGACTACTTGTCGTTGCAAAAAGGAGCAGGCATTTGGCTTCCATGTTCAGCTTCATTCTTGCTCCCCTTTTCCATTAATGATGAAGAGGTTTTCAAACAGAAAAAAAAATTTTATTTTAATTAAGAGTCATTAAAAGTCCCATTCCAAGCAAAAACATTAGCTTAATGATGAAATTCCCTCTGCTTCTAGACATAATAATGAGTTCACCAAAACCTAATGGAGACTTAGGATACAGCATTAATACACAGGTGACTTCATTTTCAGAGAATTAATGTAAGTGACAAAACATGGTACCACCCACAGATCTCAGGGCTCAGGCGGAACCCTAGAGGCCTGCAGCTGCTTCCCTAGTCCTGCGTTAACCAATCACAGCCTGGGGAAGGAACAAGCACTAGTCTTCAGGTCTTGCTCTAAAGAGTTGCAGGTGTTTGTAGGAGCTGTTGAGATGATAAGGCACAGGTCTATATGAACAAGTCACTCATCCCTGAGTCCTCAGCACAGAGTCCAGCCTCTGGATTTTTTTTTAAGATTTATTTGTTTATGCACACAAGAGCTGGGGTACAGGCCAGAGAAAGGATTCACCAGAGACAGAGTGGGGAACAGAACAGGCAGATGACCGAAATACACTGCTGAGGGGAGCAGCAGGCAAGAGGTCTGCTGCGCCATGTGGGTAGCTCCCTGGCCTACCTGAGATCCAACTCAGGGATCGAACTTGTGCTGCAGAGGCTGCAGATTGCTTCACAGTGCTTGCTTAACCCCTTGAGTCACCAGGGAGGCCCCAGCCTCTGGATTTGAGGCATTCCATGTAGATCTGAAACACTGGTTGCTAAGAAAAATGAGTCCAGCTAAGGCCAACAGAGGAGCGCTGGGCCCTACCTCAGGTCTGTGTTCATATTCCCAGTATGTGCCCGCTGGGCCTCTCCCACCTGCTGCGTGTCTGGGTGGGTATGGAGATGATCCTCCTGATCAGAACAGTCTAAAAAATAAGGAATATTTCAGACAATGACTGTGACACTTGGTGTAGGAAAAAAAAGAAAAATCCCATCATTTTTACTTGAAAACTTTTGCCCAGCAGCAAAGCTATAATGTCTAGACACAATCTGTTAGAATTTGCAAAAGTGTGCTTCCCCAGATACCAACCTGTGACATCAACTGTTGCTCACCACACATATATTAAATCTGGAATTCGCAAGGTAATATTTTTTAGTGCTGATAAAGTATTTATACAGTACCTGGGAAGTTTTTTCTTTTGTTTTTATTATAAAAGCAATATAAGTTCGTGGTAAGAAAAGTCAACCTGAACAGAAGGGAATCCACGGGACTGAAAGTGTCTTACCCTGATGCCAACCACTCATTTCAACTCCCTGCTTTTGTTAAGAGATTTTGGGTTGTTCCAGAGCTTTTCTATGCAGACACAAGAAGATACTATCCATCTGCTGAGATTTTTCAATAAATGAGAATATATATTATTGTCTTGCAACAGGTTTTATTTTTTTAGTGTACTGTAACACATACTAGGTGTCTTACCAAATACAGCTTTAAATGGTTGTGTGATATCCTATTTATTGGGGATGCATGAAGAAATTTTAACTAGCCTCCTAGTAGTGGATATTTAGGAGAAATGCCTGAGAAATAATGATAGTTCATAAAAGGATGCGATGACAGATTGTCTGCAACCATAGGTTGTGAGATGTGAGGGAGGGAAAAAAATAGGAGAGAAAATAGGGTGAAATAGACAGCTTCAAAGACAATATAAATTCCATGGCGGCAAAAATGTGCTGCTCTGTTCACTCGTGAACCCCCAGTGCTTAGTACAGTGCCCAACGCATGTGGGTGCCCAAAGAGGATTTGTTGGGTGAATATATCTCCAGGTGTATGTATATCTGTAGAGGTATTTGACTTGTCTGTGTATATTGACCAATCATGCTCCAAAAGCTTTGCTGTCTTATAAACTCCCAGCCATGTTTTGATTTGTTTGTTTTTCTTTTGAGAAGCTAGCACTTCATCCTCAGAACTCAGTACAGAGAAAGAAGAAAAGCTTGTGTGTTTGTTTCTAAAGCTTCTAAAGACTGCATTCCTCCCTCAGTTTATGGTCCTGTCCACATCACTGCAACCTCTGCAGCTATTGCCACCTCTCCTCTGACCCAGACCCCTACACCTCCCTCCTTCCCTTATATGGACATTTTGACCACTGTATAATCTGAGATAATCTCCCCATCTTGAAATCCTTAATTGCATCCCATCTGCCAAGTCTATTCCTACATAAGGTAACATAGTTACAGGTCAAGGGATTAGAAAATAAATGCTTTTGGGGAGTCATTATCTGCCCATCCCAGCTGAGGGATCACGTTTGAACTTCAGCATTTACATATATATATATATATATGCTAAATAAGTATCAAGGCCTGACTTACCATGCCCTGAACGCAATCTGAGAAACACACTAACAAGTTGGATTGCCTTGCCCACTCATAACCACCCTGAGCATCCATTTTTCTCCCTTGCTGAACTGGAGAGATTGATATTTGTCTCATAGGAAATGCTGTATCTAAGACATCTATGTCCATTCCTTTCCATTTAGCCAGCAGTCAGGAATCAGTATGAGTCTTGTTGTTTTAATTTTCACAAAATGAAAATGAAAGTACTGGATTAAGCACTAATGAAGTAGAAAAACAGATCCTCTTTAAAATCTGGTGTGAGTGTAAATTGGCACAGTCTCTTCAGAGGGCAGTGTGGCTCAATAAAAGTAATGATGTCTTATAAATGTTTTTCTCTTTATCCCAGTAATTATCCATGTCTAAAGTGTATCTTAGAGGCATGGTTGAATTTATGTACAAAGATGTTCCGTGAAATATTATTTAAATACTGGATCACAAAGTGGAAATAAATGTCCACTAGTGAGGGGTAAGGTAAGAAAGTATCTTTCATTCATATTACAGAAATCTCATCAGCCATATCAAGGATTTTGTAAAAGAATATTAAAGTTTGTCAAAAATTAATTTCAAACTTTAGGGGTAGGTTCGACCAGGGTTATTTATGATCTATCATAGAACTCTACATGGTAAACGAGTGTAGGTAGAAAAGTAAGGACTAACAAGTATAGATTGTGTGATATTAGCAGCAGTCATTTCTGGGTAAGGACTTGGTGAAGGGGTTTGGATTTGTTTACTTACATTGTCCATGTTCAAACAATCAGGATGGAAGACAGAGATTTCAACACACAACAATTCCTCTGGATTCCCAGTGTCTCCGGGTATAGAACAAACACGACAGGTGTCCCCTGGTGGAAGTGGGACGCGGTGCTGCGGAGCCACCTGGCTGCAACTTTTTAAAATAGCATATTGTACCCAAAGTCCTTCCAGAAAAGTGAGCCCAAAATTAGCAAACTACTCTGCTTAGTCAAGAACATTTACAGGGGCAGAGGCCAATTGCAAAGGACCAAACTTCACCCTAGGAAACAGCTGCTAGTCATTTTCAGCATGTTGTAAAAATAAATTCCTGCCTTTTACCCAGGCAAAGGAAGAACAAGCAGTACTTCAGGAATGGTGAGGTCGGGAGAAGCTTTATTACTCATGTGTGAGGTCCCAGACCTGGGGAGCCCCTAAGGTCTGAGCATCAGTTTAAAGACCAGGGGTTCCTTTTATACACAACTGTGTCCATATCTGTTACATGGATAGCATCACTTTTCAGCAGACACAACCATTTGTGGCAAAGTCCCCAAACAAGGGGGCAAGGCAAGGGGGGAAAGATGCAGGCATTTGGGGCTGCCCAGCCTTGTAGATAAGAGTGTTGAGGCCCTGGCCATGAGTCTTGAAAGGGAAGGAGCCGTAAGTCAGCAAACTTGTTGATTACGCCTGCACTGGATGGTCATTGCACCTGGGCTGGAAGTTCTGCTGGACTCTTTATTATATTCACTTGCTCAATAATAGATTTTCCCATCAGGAGCACTAGGAAGACGGACAATTAACTTTCACAATTGTCAAGGTCAAGGGACTGAGCTCCCGGAGTTTAATTCTCTCCTCCTTGCATTTTGCTCACTTGCATTTACAATAATGGAGAGAAACATGAAGACAAAGTAAATCCCCACTAATACGGGATTTAATAAGTATTTAATTAGTAGGCTACATCCACATTACAGAAATCTCATCAGCCACACGTAAGAATTCCGCCGCCGGCGCCAGCCCCTCCTGATGACGCTGCGAATCTTCGGCTCCACTCGGCTCCACTCGGCTCTACTCGGCTCCACTCGGCTCTTCTTCGGCTGAACTCGGACGGCGCTCGTCTTCTGGCGCTCGGCTCTCTTCGGTTTCCTTCGGGCCGCGGTCGCGTCGCCCTCGGCTGCTCTTCGGCTGAGCTCGGCCGGCTCGCGTCCGCGCGGGCTCGGGTTTTTTCGGCTGCGTTCGGCCCCCGCTCGTGTCGGCCTCGGCTCTCTTCGGCTGCGCTCGGCCGCGGCCCCGGAAGGGCTCGCATGGAGCCGGGAGCGCCGGCCCGAACCGCGGCCATGGCGCCGCTGCTGGAGTACGAGCGGCAGCTGGTGCTGGAGCTGCTGGAGACCGACGGGCTGGTGGTGTGCGCCCGCGGGCTCGGCGCCGACCGGCTCCTCTACCACTTCCTGCGGCTGCACTGCCACCCGGCCTGCCTGGTGCTGGTGCTCAACACGCAGCCGGCCGAGGAGGTGCGGCCGCGGGCGCGGGGTGAGGGTACCCCAAAAGCGCAGGGGGCGTCCCGCGCGCACGCAGGCCCGGGCGCCCATGCCAGGCCTCCGAGGACGTGCCGCTCCCTGACACGGCGGGAGGGTGTGCAGTGGGGGTCCCCTGAGACCGACGCGGGTCCCTGACAGGGGTGCGAGGGGCTCGGAGAGGAGGGGGGTCATCTGAGGAGGAGGGTTTGGGGAGAAGGAGTGACATCCCTGAAGGGCATGGGGACATGTCTGGAGGAGGCGACGAATAGAAGAATGATATCAAGGAGCTTTCGGGGGTCAGAGGAGTGGTACCCTAAAAGGGAAGAGGGAAGGCGACAGGGGAATCTCTGGGGGCGGGGGGGAGCCAGGAATTGAAAGGGGTGCTGGAGGCTGGGGAGAACCCTGTAGGGAAAAGAGGGCTGTGGGAAGGGAGTCAGAGCTGGGGGTGCTGGGGATGGCTGCCTGGGGTCACTTGGGGTCGAGGAGATGGTGGTGCCCCGAGGCAGAGTGAAGGGGATACACCTAGAGGCCTGGTCTGACAAGTCTGGTGAGCCCTGATAGACGGGGGCCAGAGGAAACCGTCAGCTGAATAGAGTGAACACAAAGTCCTTGAGGGCAGGGCCCCTCACTGATCCATCTGGGTGTCCCCAGTGCAGGCCCGGGCCGCCTTGAAGTAGCATTGAACTGAAGGTGTGCAGAGTCAAGGGCGGTGCTCAGCAGAAGTCCCCTCCAGACTGGATGGGGTGGCAGCTGAAGGTCCAACACACCTGCCTGCAAATTGGCTAATCCTATTTTGTAGGTATCCAAAGACTTGCATCCAGTGTTTTAAAAGTCTTCGCTACAATGCTAACAAGTCAAGCAGAATGATTCCCCAATGTAAACCCCCCCCCCAAAAAAAAAACAAAATCTGAGTTAAATGTAGATCCACATAAAGGAATAACTTAGTTTGTCTATTCTCTAGCCAGTTCCTTGTCTTTGAGAAAGGCAGCTCAGCATTTTAAATACAAATATCCACAGCCTATTAAAAATTCCTCTGGATTAAATAGCCCACTAATCAAGTTTGATTTGCTTTAGGAGTATTTTATCAATCAGCTGAAGATAGAAGGAATTGAACACCTCCCTCGCCGGGTGACAAATGAAATCGCCAGTAACAGTCGCTATGAGGTTTACACTCAAGGAGGTGTGATATTTGCAACAAGTCGAATTCTTGTGGTTGATTTCCTGACCGATAGAATACCTTCTGATTTAATTACTGGTAAGAATGTGACCCCTTATTACTATTTGTAAATAAATTTGCCCTTTTTTTGTTCTGTCCCCTCTGCTACACTCTAAACTAGACCTGCTTGTGGCCAGGCACTGGATGCTTTTGCTTAATACCTGACTCCCTTTAGATGCTCAGTCAACATGGTGGCCTGAATCCATAGCTAAAGATACATTTTTCCTTGTTTTCTAAGTTCATGTTCAGTAAGTACTTAGTAAGTGGCTGGCATTTGCTTTGAGAACTCAATGAGGCTCGAGAGGTTTATAAATATTCTTTATGTATTCCTCTTTGAAGATTATTTCTGTGATTTCAAATTAAAACAAGTAGTTGCTTAATTCTTTGGGGGATGGTTTCGTTTTAGCTAGAATTAATACAGGGGAATTATTTTTCATTACTGTTTATCCATTGAGAAACCTTTTCTGATGTCCCCAAAGGGGCCCTCCCTCTGTGTCCTCAGGTCACCCTGTTCTTCTGCCCAGTCATAGTGCCCAGAACCCCACGTTACACTTTTCTGTCTGTCTGTCTTGTTCATATTTGTGAGCCCCAGGAATACCTTGTTCCTCCCAGCTGAGTAGCTGGGGCCTAGTAGCAAATAGACTCGTATCTGTTGGATGAATGCACGGATATACTGTGATCTTTAATGAATATCTGGAGGGCAGACTCGAAATTATAACCATCATTATCATATTTCTATTGACATCTGTCATCTTGCCCTGAACCTAGAAGACCCTCAACAAATACTGAATGAATGAATGTGTGTGATGGATGCTTCACATGGTACATGGTGAGCTGATTGAGGAAAAGTGGTGTTATCCTTTCCTGAGAGTTACCGTTGCCATCAGGGGTGGCCCCGACCTCTGGTCAGGTTCGCCTGTCTTGAAAAGGTAACTCCACCGCCTACAACCAAGCTCCTTAACTTGCTTGAGCCTCAGTTTACTACTCCCTTTCTTTCCTAAGGGTGGTTTTAACCATTCTCCTTTACTGCTCCCTCTCCAGAAACACTCCCAGTTCATTCATTTATTATATTCTTTCTTTCCTTTTCAATAACAAGTCCTCACCACAAGTTTTGTTTTTTATTAATGTCCCTTTAAAAAATATATTGACGGGGCCTGCCCAGTGGCGCAGCGGTTGAGCGCTGGGTTGCAAAGCTGCCCGCAGCCTCTGCAGCGTGGTTCGATCCCCGGCCACCGGAGGAGGGTCCCGCATGGTGCGCAGACCTCTCCTGCCGCCCGCTGCTCCCCTCAGCAGTGTACTTCGGTCCTCCTGCCTGCTCTGCTCCCCGCTCTGGCTCTGGTGAATTCTCTCACCCTCCCGCACTTCTGACTGTACCCAGTGCTTGTATAAATAAATAAATAAATCTTTAAAAAAAAAAAAAACTCAGGCTTTAAAAAATATATATATATATTGACGAGTGAAATGAGTAAGCTGGCCGGTTCTTAGAGTAGAGGCCAGTGGGACACTCCCTCCTGGGGTAGAACCCACTCTTCTGTTGCTGGAAACTGTGCTGGCTTTTTTACTCCACATACTCTGCTGTTGACTAATTACATCAATGACTAATATACTTCTATCATTTTATTGCTTTTGCAAGTTAATTTTTTAATTGACACATAATTCACTTATAACATATTATTTCAGATGTATAACCTAATACTCCATTTTTTTAAATCAAGAAGATAGCACCTCCTAGAGTTATTGTAAGGATTAAGTGGGATAAAATAAATAGATTAGTGTAGTGCCTGGTATGCAATAATCACTTGATAAATAATAGCAAGTAAAAAAGGACCTGCTTTTTATAACCAGCAATCTCTATACATTACAAAGTATTATTGTTTGATGTGTTCTGGTATGTATAGGGTTTTGCTTTAAGTTGACAAAATGGGGTTGAGGAGTCTTGAAATGGCCACTAGATGCCACTATTGCGCTGTGAATGTCAGTATAGTGCACCCTAATTAAGCGGAGAGCACTCTAAATCAAGGAAATGTCCAAAGTATAGCTTGTAGATAGTTCCTAAGTGGAAGTGCAAAATTCCATCTCCATTTCTGATCAGCTCCCAACTAGTGGTTGAACTGGAGCTGCTGCTGCTTAACTGAAAGGAGTACAAATAAGTTAATTCCTTCAAACTTTCCAGCCTCTGATACTGAAAATCATTCTAATAGGCCGTGTAGATGTGGACCAACTTGCAAGTACCAATACTTTGTGGGACTGGGTTCACCCCTAGAAGTCTCACCTACTCGTGGTGGTTTGTTTTTATTTTGGGGGGTTTTTGTTTTGTTTTGTTTGTTTGTTTTTTTGGTTTTTTTTAAGGGGAAACCCTTAAGTGGAGTCACTTTGGAATTTTTTGTCTCCCTTTTACTTATCAGATGGCATGGATCAAGTTACTTTCCTTTCCTGGTCTCATGATCAGACCTATCCTGTAGAATTGTTGTGAGGATTAGATGAGATAAAAATCTATGAAAGTACCTAAGCCTAGTACCTAAGCTATTTTATGCTAGTTCTCATCCTCCTTCTGGGTTCCAAAAGAGTGACATTTTGAAACACACATTTTCTTAGAGGTTCACCTTTTCTTTGGAAGTTTATTCTTTAAATTTTCAACTGATAATATTTCAGTCTAGGCCAATAAGTGTGACCCAGTCAACTACTTGGAAAATCCCAGCTGCTGGGTAGAAAATATTTTCTGAATAGTCAGTTAGTTGTGTACATGTGTTAGGTTGATAGAAAATCTTTTGTGTACGAATTCCTAAATAACAATATTGTTATATTGAAAAATAATTCGCTTAACTGGAGTAAATTGTAACCATCTGAATCCAAAACTTAAACACTAAAATAGTAGACTCTGAATTGGGTCTATTGAGCTATTAGAAAGGGTGGTTAAAATACTCCACGTATCATCTTCCAGACCCTCGGAGTGAGGAGAACTGGAGCAAAAATATGCAAGTGTATTTCCAGCAAGCACATAGAAGGTCACTGGCTTGATTCAGTTCACAAAGAAAGTATCACTCTTATGTCCACTGCCCCCCCCCCATACAGATGTATTAAATATGTTCATTAGAGGTTTTTCTTTTCAGTGGGCTAATTCAGTTGAATATACTCTGGTTTTGAACACTGAATTATTATAGGTGATGTCATTGTCGCCCAGACTTATAAAATGCAGCTATTTTGTGTCCTCTACCTCTGATTCGTATGCAAAAGGAGAATTAGTGCCCACCTTGCTTTCAGAAATTCTCCCTCCATCAAGCCTGTCGCACCCACCCTCTGCTCTTATTATTCCTTCTTCCCGGAACTCTGTTGGCCCAGAGGGTCCCAAAGTCACCGCTCACCTCTCTGTGGCCTTCACTCAGCTACGGCCTGGGTCAGGCTACCCTTCCTAGTTACAGACCACCACCCCCACACACACTCTCTCTCCTCCTCCTCAGATTCTTTTCTTCTCCTTAGCTCTTACATCCCCCTCTAACCTATTCAATGTTTTACTTTATATCATGTATTGTGTGCCAGGAGGGCGGGGGCTTAGTTTTGTTGGTGGCTGTGTCCCTGGCCTAGCACAGCGCTCGCCCTCTGCTCAAGGAGGCGCTAAGGAAACAGGGGGCCGCGTGAATGAAGCAAGCATGAAAATGACCTGTGTCTCTGTCACATCTCACTCCTCCCCCAGGCATCTTGGTGTACAGAGCTCACAGAATCATCGAATCTTGTCAGGAAGCGTTCATCTTGCGCCTCTTCCGCCAGAAGAACAAGCGTGGTTTCATCAAAGCCTTCACGGACAATGCTGTTGCCTTTGACACGGGTTTCTGTCACGTGGAAAGAGTGATGAGAAATCTTTTCGTGAGGAAGCTGTATCTGTGGCCCAGGTAACGGCCTCTGTGGTCAGGCGCTCTGAGGGGATCCACTGTTGTTTAATTTGGCGCTGTCACGAGACATGAAATTTAGCATAGTTACACTCCATGTATCCTGTCAGGCTCCTAACAGGTAGGGCCCACATAAATCTGTGCCCACCACCTTTGTGATTCTTTTCAAAGGAGAGCGACTTGGTGGTTATTTCTCTGCTCATCAAATCCACGCAGGGCAGCCACTTTCTTTTTCGGAGACACATATGGCAGCTTTAGGTGAGATGCAGACTTGCTGGCTAAGACTCCCGCTTCCCTTTGAAAATTACCCACCAGGGAAATAAAGCACAAAAATTTTGAAGAATTTATGTAAATTTCTCAGGAAAATAAAACATAAGGTTTCCATTTTCAAACACTGCCATTTTCAAACATTTCAAACTGTGCTAATAAATATTTTGGCCAAATGCTGGTACTTGAGAAGAGTGGCAGCGGCCTTTTTCCTTTCTTGATTATATCTTATTTCAGGGATTGGTAGACTTTTCCTATAAGGGGCCAGAGAGTCAAATATTGTGGGCTTTGGAAGCCTTAAAGTGAAGCAGCTGGAGATGACGTATAAGTGATTTGTGTGTCTCTGCATCTTATAAAAGCAGACTCTGAGCTGGGTCCAGGTCATAGTTTTCTAACCCTAGACTGACTTGAATAATACTTCCACTCACTGAGGTTAAAAATATTCCTGAAAAACGTCATTTTGCTTTCCGTTTTGCTTAATTACAATTACCAGAAAAACTTTTAGAATACTAAACCAAGACCAGAAATACATTGCTTCCAAAACTATAGAAAATATTTGAAAACTGTTTGTCTCCCTAGGTTCCATGTAGCAGTACACTCGTTTCTAGAACAGCACAAACCTGAAGTCGTAGAAATTCACGTTTCCATGACACCGGCCATGCTTGCTATCCAGACGGCCATCCTGGACATCCTTAACACATGTCTGAAAGAGCTGAAATTCCATAACCCGTCACTCGAAGTCGAAGATTTATCTTTAGAAAATGCTATTGGAAAACCTTTTGATAAGGTATGCTATTTCTTTTCCTTTTTAAGTTTGGTGCGTTACGTTGTACGTTTAATGAATGCAGGTTATTTTAATAATTGCAGTGTTCTCAGTAGGAATTTGCCATTATTTTAGAATTAAATTGGAGGTGATTTAAAGTATAGCTCCACTCTGGCTTACTGGAAGGTAATCATTTGTAAAAACTATGTGGTTTGGCATCAAAACATAACTCTGATTTTTGCAGTTACAGTGATGAGCTTTTGTTTTAAGTGTAATTAAGAAGAGGATAAATAACCTTTTTAATCTAAAGTGACATTGGGATAGCAACAGGTAGAAGAGTTTTACATTAAAATGCTTCATAGGGCCTCCCCAGTGGCGCAGCGGTTGAGCGCTGGGTTGTGAAGCTGCCCGCGGCCTCTGCGGCACCGGTTCGATCCCCGGCTGCTCCCCGGCCACCAGAGGAGGGTCCCACATGGCGCGCAGACCTCTCCTGCCGCCCGCAGCTCCCCTCAGCAGTGTACTTCGATCCTTCTGCCTGCTCTGCTCTCCTCTCTGGCTCTGGTGAATTCTCTCACCCTCCCGCGCTTCTAACTGTACCCAGTGCTTGTATAAACAAACAAATAAATCTTAAAAAAAAAAAAAATTAAAATAAAATAAAATGCTTCATAATTATACATAAATTCATGATCTCTTTTTTGGAATTAAAATATTTTGGATGAGTTTTCATTACTGAGGAATGTAAGACCCCATCTTCAAATTACATTCTGAGTTGAGAAAAAGGTAAGGCTTCAATTCAAGGAATTTTTATTCTGACTTACTTTTTTAATCATAAATTAATATTGGCACAGATATGAGATTGAAATGTAGACCCAGAAAAAGCTATTAAAAAATTCCAAGCAGCTAAGTTTTCATTTTGGGGAAGAACAAATACCTGTCTTTTAAATTTACTCTCTTTGTCCTTGGAAATAATGTGTACTGATTATATTATGTAAAAAGGAAAACTTAACTCCTTATTTCTCTGATTCTCCCAAAGTCATCATATCATAAAGTAACACACTGAATTAATTTCATGTGTTTCATTCCTATGTTTTTAAAGTTTATTATAATCTAGTGTATGGTGATACCAAAATGCAAAAAAAAAAAAAAAAAAATGCCTCACATTCTTTTTATAAGATGTACTGTTGTCTTTAGGAAAAACAAAATACAACCTGATCTGTTTTCTACTAAATTTCTGCTTTCTCATTTCCTGGCTAGTAAAAATCAACATAGTATTTTACGTATTCTTTGAGTAATCAAATCTAAATATAGATATAACTTCTCATTCGAAAATTTAGCCTTTGTAGATGATTTACGAAAGAGGCACGTAGTTAGCTACATGCCCCAGTGTGTAAGGACACTCCCAGTGTCTGTTGTCCTGGAGTCGTTATTCACATTTAGTCCATTGTTAACTTAACAAATATGTTCCCATCCATGCCTCACATTTAATAAACAAACAGACCTTTGACATTAGCAGTGAAGGTACAGTGGTATTTAACCTGGTACCATGTGGCTTCTGTGTGCTCTGTGCTCCCTCATCCCATGTCTCTGTCCATCCAGGACAGGGTCAGGGCCAACTCTGCAGAAGTCAGATGTGTCTCTTCATAATAACAGATGATTGATTATCTGGTGTTTTCTGTCCTGGTTAATAATGTAATTAATAATTAGGTACTTAATACTGTAGTTTATTTTTATAAATAATGTAATACGGAGAGTTCATATAAATAAAGGTATTAATGTAAACATGGGGAATGAAAAATTCATTGTCTGGTAATAAAGATTCTGGCTGGAAGTAGAAATTATAATGACTTTGGAAATTATAACCAGCAGCCTTCTAACCATGGCCCAGTGGAGAGCAGAGAATCTGGTGGTAGCAGGAACCTGTGGGGGCCTTATGATGGGGGAACTATGGTCTAGGAGGCAGTGGGGGAAGTGGTGGTTATGGGGGAGGAAGCTGGACTGCCCCTGGTCCCATTTGCCACACGGGCTTCACTGTGTAACTCAGAGACAGTGGGAGCCCAGAGGCCACAGAACAGCTTTAGGTTTTCCGGTCATAAGAATAACCACGGGAAGGAAACTCAAATCTCAGTGTCGTGCAACATGCAGTGGCGTGGCAGAGGACACCAGAGCTGCCGCAGACCCTTTTGTGGCTGCATCCGAAGCGGCAGTGACATCATCTTCCTAGTGTGGGAGCGTTCCTTCTTGCATGTTAACATTCCAGCGCCAGGAAAAACCTTTTATAAGATTTTTCTCAGAAGTCTTAAAAAGTTATTAGCCATGGTTATGGTATAATAAGAGGTAACATTTTCCCTTTACAAGAAATTAAGTGTGTGTAGAACTTAGAAACTATTCTACATGTGTATCATGTAATAAAATAATTCTAAAGGAAAAAAATAACACAATCTGCTTTACACTGTTATTGAATCTTATGAACTGAAATTTTCTCTTCACTTCCTTGGGGGATAATGTTTTGGATGCTTTATTGTGTGTGGTAAATTTAAATATAACAAAATTTACCATCTTAACCATTTTTAAGTATACTGTTTATAGCTATGTTGAACCTGTTTTAGCAACACAAAATTTTATCTTTGTTTTAGACAATCCGCCATTACCTGGACCCTTTATGGCACCAGCTTGGAGCCAGAACTAAATCCTTGGTTCAGGATTTGAAGATTCTACGAACATTGCTTCAGTATCTCTCCCAGTATGATTGTGTCACATTTCTTAATCTTCTGGAATCTCTGAGAGCAACAGAGAAAGCCTTTGGTCAGAACTCAGGTAGGGTATAAAAATACTAATATTCTAGGAGTTGGTTTGAATCAAGTGCTGTATTTTGCTAGGGAGTCAGATGCAGGCAGTGCTGTATCTAACTACCTGGTGTACTGAGATTTCAGATTATGTTCATGTGCACAGCCCAAGGGTGTAGGTCTTATTGATAACTAATGTTCCCGCCTACTTACCTTCTGCTCTGTACAACAATAAACAGACATATACATTCCAGGCACTTTTATTTATGGAAAGACTATATAATACAGACCATCCCCAAATTAGAAATAGGACGTGTTCTGGAAGTTTAGTTGTTAAGAACTTAAAATTCATTTTCCCCAAAGAAACAGCAAGGGAGTATGGGGTTTCTTCCTCGAGAGTGCTCAAGGCCAAGAAGACATATGTAGGGAAACATTCATGACAGCCATCTTATCCCCGACCCCTCACTGTGGCAACTGTCAGAATTTGGCCAGCCCGGTAATTGTCCAGGTGTGGTTCCTGGAGCCAAGATTCAGTACAGCCAAGCGTTTTTACTGCTTCTTCAGGGACATTTTTGTCACAAACATCGGGTGCACAGCAAGGAAGAATACCAGCCCCACCAACGCCTGGGCCCCAGCACCCAGGCCATGCTCAGGCACCTGTGTTTCTGCACCAACTCTGAGAATGTCAGCACAGTGGGGAAAGGCCAAATGATGCGTTGGTGCTATAATGAGAACAGTTTTGAAGTTGCAGAGCCTGTGAAAATATCTTGGGAGCCCCCCACCCCCCAGCTGCACTTTGAAAACCACTGTTCTGGCCAGGGACAGAGGCTGCAGGAGGGGGAAGCTGTGGTTGGGAGAACAGGTCAACAGCCAGGTGTATCTGCAGGTCATCAGAAACTCTTTCAAATGGACCATGAATTAAAGTCTTTTGTTTTTTTAACTTTTCATATCAGGTTGGCTGTTTTTTGACTCCAGCGCCTCAATGTTCATAAATGCTAGAGCAAGAGTTTATCAGGTTCCAGATGCCAAAGGGAATAAAAAAGGCAAAGTGTCAGAAAAAACGGAGATTAAAGAAGGGCAAGGTAAAGGTTTCTCAGAGGCCTAAGCCTTTAACTACTTGGTGTGGAAATTATCAAGTTACAGCATGATTGTAACTCTTCAGCCATGTGAAAATGTGTGCATCTGTGTCATATGTAATGTGTAATATGTGTTGAAAGCATTTACTTGGCAAATCTTAAAATCCACTGCCAGGAGATTCCAAATAAATGCCAAAGGTTATTCGAGACTATTCTCACTACTCCATAAAAAACTGTAGATTCATTTTCTTTTTACTTCTGGCAATTATTATTTTGTGCACTTAAAGTCTGGGTGTATCATTTAGCATCCTTTCTAGCTTTTAGAGAACCTAAATATACTAGAAAGAGGCAAGTAAGCATTTATTCCAACAGGTACAATAAATATCATTGGTATTTTTTGTTAAGGTATGGAATTGGGTTAGTGCTTACTTTCTGCCTCATGCAAAGGTCTGTTTCAGAACTTAAATATATAGTGATGTGTTTGAGTACATGTAGAAATAAAAGTTTGATTGTTGTCTACTTTTTTTTTAAAGGTTTTATTTATTTTTGCGTAGAAGAACTGGGGTATAGGCCAGAGGTATGGAGGGTGAGAGGATTCACCAGAGACAGAGTGGGGAGCAGAATAGGCATATCGATTGAAATACACTGCTGAGGGGAGCAGCAGGTGAGACAGGAGAGGTCTGCTGTGCCATGTGGGTTGGCTCTTTGGGCAGGGATTGAACTCAGGCTAGGCCATTGTAGTGGGCCTTTATGGTGGTAGCCTGAGACTTAACCCTGAGGCCATCAAGGAGGCCTTATTGTTGTCTACTTTTATTCCATGTTCCAGATTATAAACATCGTGGGGATTTTAGAAGTACTAACTACTGTTTTTCTCACTGATACCTTCATTTTGTGTAGCCACTTAAAGACAGTATCACAGCTGACAACTGACACAGCATCATCTCTTTTTTTTAAAGATTTATTTATTTATGCATACAAGAATTGGGGCACAGGCCAGAGGTGTGGGACATAACAGGACTCACCAGAGACAGAGTGGGGAACAGATCAGGCAAACTGACTGAAATCCATTGCTGAGGGGAGCAGCGAGTGAAACAGGAAAGGTCTGCTGCGCCATGTGGGTAGCTCCGTGGCCATCTGGGGAGCAAATTCATGCTGTTGAGGCTGCAGATAGCTTCACAGTGCTGTGCTCAACTCCCTGCTCTACCAGGGAGGCCCAGCACCATCTTTTATTAATGACTGTGCACATAGCCCTCTATCAGGGTATCATGAAACCTAGATTAATGCTGGTGTCATCAATCAAGCCAGAAGTAGACCCTTTTCCAAGAAGGCAGATTCTATGAATTCTTACTGTTGAAGAAAGCTCAGAGGACTTTCTTCAGCTATAGAATGAAGCATGTGTTATCTGTTAGTCTAATAGTCTTTGGAATAAGTACTAGCCATGAAATGTAGGTTGTCTTTTATTTCTTCACAGAAACAAAAAGGGAACTGGTCCTTGAAAGCAACCCAAAGTGGGAAGCACTGACCGAAGTACTGAAAGAAATCGAGGCAGAAAATAAGGAGAGTGAAGCCCTTGGTGGCCCAGGTAGGAGAAAAGGAGATGGTGGCCTTTACTTTCAGAATCCAGCAAGGAGGCCCTTTCTATTAGCTGCTTAGCTACACCTTACTGTACTTTGTTTATAAAATGCAAATGAATAAATGCCAAGTGAACACTGAAATCCTAGCAACAGCCTCCTTTCTTCTCATTGGATGTCATTTTCTCCAGGTTGAATCATTGTGTATTCAGGAAAGTGTGTTTTTTTTTGTTTTTGTTTTTGTTTTTTTGCTGGTTGCATCCTTGGAACTCCTATTTAAGCTAATCTCCACATACATATTCACCAGACTGTAAATCTGGAATCCCCAAGGAGAAAGCTGATGAGTTCACATTTTATATTCTCAGCAAGTGTCTTTCCAAAGAAGTCTCAACTGTTCTATGGAGTGACACCGACCTGGCTCTGGAATCAAAAACAATTCCGAATCCGAGGGCTGCTCTGCTCACACACAAGTGTGCCGGCACGAGACACAGCAGACTCAGGGCGACTCCACTTAAACATAAAGTCAAGTGGAAAATGAAACTCAATTACAGAAACTTAGGCTTGAATCCTTGACCTCCTGCAGGACAGTAAAGGCAAGCACCAGTCCTTCTCTCAGTAAACGCGGGTGGTATTTTCCCAGAACCTATGGTGCTGTGATTTTAGAGCCAAGGTCACACATGCTTCTCACTTAGAAAATGGGAGAAGGACGAAGAAGAATGGAGAAGGCAGAAATGGATGCAGTCACTGTTAGCCTTGGCGTGTTTCCTTCCAGATTTTCTTTCATGTGTTTTCTGTTTCTCACTGTTAAGGTCATAGCACAGGTAGAATTTCTGGATCCAGAATCCATAAGTCAAATGACAGAGTCCTTAAGACACAGTTACCACATTGGCTTATGTAATGTTTTTATCAATTTTCATTTCTTCTAGCAGTGTAAGAACTTACCCCTTTTTTTTTTTTTTTTTTAATAGAGAGCAAAAACATATTTTAAGATAAAGAGATTGCACTTTTCAACAAAAAATGGGGGGAAATTAACATTTATATATCACTGACAAAAATGTAAATCTTACAGTTTTGGAGGAGGGTAATTTGTCATGATCTACACATGCTCATGCCTTAGGATCCAGAAATTCCACGTCAAAGACCCCACCCTACAGCAATAATAGCAACAGATGCATAAAGAGGCATGTGCACAAATGCTCAGTGTAGCAATTTCCCTGTTGTCTCCCCCTGCAACTTACCCCTTTTTCACTTGGTGAACAAATGTATTTGTATGTATGTGTTCTATATATGTATATTACATATGTGTATTACATTGTGTGTGACAGTTTTATTAATTTGATTGCAGAAAAGTGTCATCTTGCTTTAAATGCTACTGTGTGGTAAGCTTTTCATTATCATTTGCTCTCATGAATTATCTGTTTCCTTTGCTAATTGAGGCTAATTTCTGCATTTGTGTTGACTTTTTATATATTAAAGTTGTTAACTTTTATCAGTTTTTGAACACTTTTTTTTTTTGTCTTAGCTTCTTCAGTGCACCCTTTTTTTATTCTTATGGAGTCAATCTTAGATTATAGATACCAGTTTTCTCTGAGGTTTCTTCCTCTGCTTCTAAGCCAAGAAAATCATCTCCATCCAAAGAGAGGTTAGAAGAGTCACTTTTCTTCTATGAGTGAATATTTGACATTTGACTCTGTAATCCATTTGGAATTTATCTTGGCGTATAAGATCTTCTGCAAAATTATTAATTAAAAAAGGGCTTCTTTAAAGCCTCCATGACACCACGACTATACTTTTCCTAAGACTAGATATTTCTGGCTTCAACTTTACTCAAAAGATTTAAGTAATCCTGCCAGAGAGGTGGAAGCATTTGATAAACACCTAAGAACTTTCTTGAAACAAACTGCACACGTTGTGGGCCTCAGCACCCAGGGGCGGGCGCGTTCCTGGGAACAGGGGTGCTCGCCTCACTGGTGCCATCAAGTCCCTGTGAATGGACTCAGCAGGCCCCGTGGGCAGACCTCCCCTCCCCTTCAAGTCCTTGGAATTGTAACGTGCCTTGGCCATGATTTCTTCCAGCTACTGGTCATAGAATGACTGGTCAGTCCTTTCAGCCCATGAAACTGTCTTTTCTGTCACCGTGCTCCATGGGATCCTCAGGGCGCTGGGGCAGGCGCTGGCGGGGCCCTGACCTTGCTTTCTCGTTGCAGGTCAGGTGCTCATTTGCGCCAGCGACGACCGGACGTGCGCCCAGCTGCGGGAGTACCTCAGCGGCGGGGCCGAGGCCTTCCTGCTGCGGCTCTACAGGAAGACCTTCGAGAAGGACAGCAAGGCCGAGGAGGTGTGGGCGCCGTTCCGGAGAGAGGACTGCGCCAAGAGGGCCGCGAGGGCCAAGAAACGGCCCAAAGACCCCGCGCCCGGCGACCGGGCTCCCGCCAAGGGCCGGGCCCTCAAGAAGAAACGCCGCCTGACGCTGACGCAGATGGTGGGCGCCCCGGCGGAGGCGGGCGCGGACAGGCCGGGCGCGGACGGCGGCCCCGGGGACGGGGACGGCGGCGACAGCCCGGAAGGCCGCGGCGGGGACGGCCGGCCCGAGGCGTTCGAGCTGAACCTGTCGTCGGACGCGGCCTACGGGATCCTGCGGCAGCCGCTCACCGTCCTGCACCCGCTGCTGGGCTGCAGCGACCCCTACGCGCTGACGCGGGTGCTGCGCGAGCTGGAGCCCCGCTACGTGGTGCTGTACGACGCCGAGCTCCCCTTCGTGCGCCAGCTCGAGGTGTACCGGGCCAGCCGGCCCGGGCGGCCGCTCAGGCAAGTGGCCACCGCGGGAGGCGCGTCCTCGAGGCTTCGCCCTCACAGCCCTTGGGGATCTCACGCGGGGCCGGCCCGCGCCACGCTCGGTCATGGCGAGCGGGGCGTGAGGGCGCCGGGGTCGGGCCCGAGGTCGGGGCCCAGGGAGCGCGGCTGAGGCGGGACACCCGTCCCCGCCGGCCCTGGGTAGGCCTCTGTCGGGGCGCATGGGGGGCTGTACCCCGACAAGTCTGAGAAACTTAGAACATCCTACCAAAAGTCAATGCAGTTGTGATGCAGCTAAATAATTTAAGTCTTCTAGAAAGCCTTTCTTTTCAGGTTTTTTTTTTAAGATTTATTTTTTATTTATACAAGTGCTGGGGTACAGGCCAGATGCGCGGGGTGAGAGGATTCACCAGAGACAGAGCGGGGAGCACAACAGGCAGACTGACGAGGTACACAGCTGAGGGGCGAGACAGGAGATCTGCCACGCCATGTGGGTTCCTCCGAGGCCAGTGGGGATCGAACCCGCGCTGAAGAGGCTGCGGACAGCACAGTGCGGCGCTCAACCACCTGCGCCCCCGGGGAGGCCCGCTTTTCAGTTTTAAGAAGTGACTAAGTTACAGCCGCATAAAACTAAAGTCTTTGGGGAATTGTTGTACCAAGCTTTCTTGAGTCCGGAGAAGTCTCAGATGAAAAAGCTACAGAAATCTCAGATGAGAAAATGATGCTTCCCAAAGAAGATAGTGTTCTGGCTCTCCAGATATCTGAGGGGAAATAGCAAAATTAATATCCTGAACTTAGGCTGAACCAAAAACAGAGCCAAAAGAAACCTTCCTGCGATTTAACTGGTGTGCCTTTCCGAGTAGAGCTGAATGGAGGAGGTGGATCAGAAGTAATGCCGGGTGAAGAGATGATAATTACATCTGAGTTGGACCAAGGGATGCTAGCTCTAGTCTGGTCAGTTCTTCATGCTCTGCTATTAATCACCTTTGTCACTAGCTCTTGTCTGCACAGTGCTTTGTCACCTGCGAATAGAATAGTATGACACTTGGAAATAAAATGTCAGCTGCAAGGAGTCTGGTAGGTCAACCCCTCACTCTGTGAGGAAACTGAGGCCCAGGAACAGTGAGCGACCTTCCCTTGGCCACAGCACGCCCTGGTTCTGGCCTGAGCGCCAGTGGTCTCCCAGTCAGGCTTCCAAGGAATATAATCCACGATAGTGAGGGCGAAGGAAAACTTGAGGACTCACAAGGTGAAGAGAAGGGACAATGAGGGGGTTTAGTCAGCTTGGTAGTGACAAAGACAGAAAAACTGGCCTTCAGTAAGAGAAAAGAATACATCACCTCCGGGGATGCCTGATGGCACCTACGCCTTCCTGTGTCGGTGTGTTTGGGTAACGAGTGAGGTGGCTGGGTTCTGTTGAGACACGAATCAAAAAAAAAAAAAATGAGAAACTACTTGTGAACACAAAGGTCATATAGATTTCATTTGCTTACTTTTCACAAACATGAACTTCATAAGCTGGTTTTTATAACTACTCTCCAACTTAGTAAATGATTGTTTGGCAGAAGCGCAAAGAAAAAATTGAAAAAAGAGAAGCCACTGAGATTGTGTGTTTTCTGATTTGTTTATAGTTATGAGGAAAGAATTATCCTCTCCCTCTAGTTATATTTCAGTGTTTACCTAAACTCTGTCCTCCTTTTGGCAAAAGAAAAAAAAACCCATGTGGTAATGAGACCTTTAACAGGTGGGGTTTAGGCAACTTTGTTTTAGTAAGTATGTGATTAATGGAACCTTTTATTCTTAGTCAAATATTTACTGTTTGAGCACTCTCGCTTGCTGGTTTCAGTGCGATGCTGTGCCTTTCAAGGATTAAAAATGATGTTTTTGCAACCTAAAAGAGCTCTGTCTTGACTTGCAGGGTTTACTTTCTGATATACGGAGGCTCAACCGAGGAGCAACGCTATCTCACTGCTTTGCGGAAGGAAAAGGAAGCTTTTGAGAAACTCATAAGGTAATGCTCACAAGACCACTGCGGAAGTCACAGCTCCGTTGAGGGCCATGCAGGATCCAGAAGCTTCTCCAGGTTGGGAGAGTAGGGGTATCCAATGGCGCTTAGGAAAGATGAGGGTGAGAAGTTGTGGGGAATCACATCAGGTCTGTCCTGTACTCAGGTCTGTCCCCCCCGGGTGTCCATCTGCACGTGTCCTCTTTCCTTTGCTGCCATCTTGACTTCTTTTCAGTGGTTGAACTGAGTGTTCAAACTCTTCAAAAGAACTGCTTTTCTATTTGTAAACTATAGGTCACAGAAAGAGAACTAAAACACTACTTTTCTAAGAAACATGTTCCTAAATCTCCTGCTCACCCATCCACATGTGAAGATTTGTCCTTTCCCTCTGAAGTATGTTTTGTTGTTTGTTTGTTTTTTAATTCTCATGCAAGTTCTATTGTCTGTGCTTGGGTGAGAGCTGTGCTGTTTATACTGGGAAGAGTTTTCCCCACCTAGGCAGTTCAGCTCACCATCAATGTAGTCACTCCGAGGAAAAAAAGATTTTAAAAGGTGTGATGTTTATCTGAACTCGTGTCTATGTTTTTGAGAATAAGTGTCCAACACGTTCCAAATCCAAATAGAAAGTATTTTCAGTTTATTATAAGGAAGATGTTGCTAAGGGAGATATTTGCCAACCAGCCGACTGGCTGCCCCTTAACACCTGCAGGTGTGAGAGAAATCTGCTAGCCTCCCCCAGGAACGTTATCAAGGCAATGGCAGCTTACAAGGGAAGGTGCATCATATATATCGAATGGGCCTCAGAAGCCAGGGACAAGGGCTGGCCAGGACGTCCTTGGGCTGAACCATGGAAAGGGTCAACCACGGCACAGGCTATAGCCTGGGCCACACCAATCTTCCAACCTCAGACGTTGGAAGTGAGAGGGCAGAATTATCATTAACGATATTAGCCTGCCAGGGCCCAAGACAGAATTTCCAAGTGAACAACCATCCTCCAAGACCATGACTTCTCAGTATGTACATAAAATATCTATGTCTCAGTTAGTCCAGGGTATGCGTCCCTGGGAACAGGGCTGCTCGCCTTACTGGTGCCATCAAGTCCCTGTGAATGCACTCAGCATGCCCCATGGGCAGACCTCCCCTCCCCTTCAAATCCTTGGAATTGTGACGTGCCTTGGCCATGATTTCTTCCAGCTACTGGTCATAGAATGACTGGTCAGTCCTTTCAGCCCATGAAACTGTATTTTCTGTTAACGTGCTCCATGGGATCATTTATTATTAATTTTGTGTATATCAATTTTTAAGAAAAAATATTTCAGAAATAGTATCATAAAAAACGAGGTATTAGATAGGTTGCCACTTCTTGTACAAAATTTTTAGCACCTCCCTATCTCCCCTTGTGTCTGGCAAGCCTCCCCTCTCCCCAAGACCGAAATAGCCCACAGGTATTCATTGAGTATCTATTAATGTGCCAAACCGTGTGCTAATATATATGTGCTGGAGTTAAGTGGTACAGAAAAAGTTCTGTCTCCTAGACCTTATCCTCTGGGGGGAAAGAAAAACATTAAATGATTTTGAGTATTATAATAAATAGAAGTGTGCAGTGAGCCACCAGCTGCAAAGGTAGAAGAAACAAGTGTAGTAAGACCATACATCAGAGATCACTCTGTTCTGGGGATCAGGGACCGCTTCGCTGCAGATATTTAGGCTGATGTGTGAAGAATGTGTGCTGATTGGAAGGGGATTGTACTGAACAAGATGTGTGTAAAGGCTCAGAGGCAGAAGAGGTTCAACTGAGGATTCGGGACTTAACTCTAAAGGCAGTAAGACAGCTTTGAAGGCTCAGAGGAAAGCGACATAAGTATATTTTTTAGGTTCTCTCTGGCATCAGAACAGAGAAACTGGTCAGGAGATTATTGCAAGTGTCTGATAAGAACAGGGGGTGGCCAGGGTGAGATTGTCAGAGGGAAGTAGACAGACTTAAGAGATATCCAGGAGATGGAACCAAAGAATTGGCAATAATGGATGCTGGGTTGTACCTAACCATTCCTTCACTCTTTTTAAATGCCTTTTTTCTGAAGCCTCGCTAATTGAAGTCATTGTCTCTTGAGTTACAAATGAGCACACAGAGCCCAAATATAATACATCCATTGGGCTATTTATTGGTGTTCACTTGAAGGGTCACGAGACCACCCTCAGGCCAGATGAGACACAAAACTGGTATACTGCAGTTATGGCTTATCGCAGAGAAGGGTCAGATTAAAAGTAGCAGCAGGAAAGGAGGCCCTGCTGAAGCCCAAGCCATGCTGGCCTCCAGCATCCTCCCCATTGTAAGCACACCGATGTGCTTGGTGCTCCCAGCAGCAGTGAGGGGAAGCAGAGGAGGGGAAGTTGTCAGTGGAGGAGCTCGCTGGAGCCTCAGCATCTGGTGTTTTTGGTTTGTTTGTTTGTTTTTTTTGCTGAGGGGCGGGAGGGTGTCAGTTATGCAGACATGGAGTTCCCACATTCCGGCCCCCAGAGTAAACACAGGCATTCACCATAAATCACATCGCAGCATAAACCATCTGACCAATACAAGACCCTCTTCCAGGCAGGATGTTCTAAGGGCTCAGAGCTTATCTCCCAGAAGCTGGTGGAAGCCAGTCCTGAGGAGAGGGCCTCTCTTGGGAACTGCTGAGTTAACCCTTGCCTGCCCAACGCTGTAGCCCAGTCGAGTCCACAGTGGTGAGTTCTTGTGTTCCGGCCTTTCTCCGTGCAACTGCCTCTTCTCCAGGACTTCCCCTGGAGTCTGTGATCCAGAAAAAGAGCACTTTGAGTAGATTGTAGCAAAGTACTGGGGACCAGATGCCATTCCTGGTTTATAAGAGTGACTCTACACAGGAGAGCCTCAGTAGCAAGTGGGGATCAACCTGGCACATCCTGGAAACCTCACTCAGCAGAGCCTGGGACATGGGCCTTCTCCAGCATTTCAATTGGCAATAATTTCCAGACCACATTGTAATGTAATTTTATCTATGGTCTGGCATCATTTCTGATCTCTCTCAATGGTGATTATCTGCTTATTATAAACTAGATCTTCCCATGGTACAAAGCAATCAGATGGTAACACGATGTAGAATCGTAAGATGCTTACTTTCCCAGAAAACTTGGGAAATTTGAGAAGTGTTTGTTTGAAAAGCAAAATATATGTGAGATGCATTGCTGAAAGAGTATTTGCACTGTGCCTGTAGTTAGAGAACAATTTCATGTGAGAATAAGATGATGTGCCTCTGCCAGGCCCTCCGTGGGTGATATAAGAACAAAAGCAGTGCTACTATTTAAAATAACTGGAAAAGAGTGAGTCAGGCAAACTGGCAGTGAACGGATGGTTTGGCTAGAGGAAAGGTCAGTAGATTACAAACGATAAGCAAAGAGAAAAAAGATTACACTTCTAAGTATTGATAGTAAAATGCTCCCGGGGTAGAAAAATCAGTAATAACATTCCGAATATACATAGTTTCGGAGAGGTCACTGCTTTTCAAAGGAAAGGGTAAGATGATTTGAAATTTTACAGTTTGAAAATATCACAAAGTTAGCATGAGACTTGAATAAATGCCGGTTGGAAGAGGCCTGCAGTTCAGCAGCCCCTGCCCTATTCTCCTGCAGCACGGGCTCTTCACCTCTCGCTGAAGCTGTTCAAGCGAAGATAAGAAACCTCAGTCCTCTCAGTGAAGTAGAAAGTAGGACTCGGAATATTTAAATTATTACCCTGTGCCTGTCACAGGGTGACTGGAATGAGTGTGCTAAATGGTGAGAGCGCGGGGCTGAGGTATCATTATGGCAAACTTCTAAAATTCATCTGAGTCGCTGCTCGGAAGACTTGCAGTTTCTTCACCACCCAGCTTTCGTTCCCAGGAGCCTGTTTTTGTCAGATTCAATTTTCAGTTCCACGGTCAGTGTAACAACATTGAAACAGTTGTGGAATCATTTGAAGGTCAATCAGGTTTTTAGCATAATCGTGCATAATTAGGGGACAAGGACCCAAGCCTAACAAAAGGACAGTGCTAATAGCAGCTGGCATTTGTAGAGTGCTTGTGGGTGCCCGGCTCTGCACTCAGTGCCTCACGTATATTCTGTAAACCTCCTAAGTCTTTTGGGGTAGATTTTTTCATTATTGTCCCGTTTTCCAGATGAAATTGAAGGACAGAGCCACTGAATGATTTGCCCAAGGTCACAGAGCTAGTAAGGTTTCAAATGCAGGAAATGTGGATTCAGAGCCCCCCCCCCCACCCCCGCTCCTCGCCACCCCTCGCCCATGCCCTACAATTGCTCAGGTCACAGGGGAATCATATGTCCCCAAGCCATATGTGGCCCAGCCAGCAAAGCAAGTGGAAATACAGACAGAAGAAAAACCCCCAGTATAAAAGAAGTTGAAGAGCAGTAACCAGTTTGGGGTGGGTTGTCCACAACTCAAGTTCTCTAGAAGCGGTGAGTGTCCCAGGTGACACCTGACGCCGGTCCTGAGAACATGGAGAAGTGGGCCTGGAGCGGTTGCCATCTCTTTACAGAACGGGGTCCTAATTATAACTTTGCCTTTTATACTGTTCCAAAGCGTGTGGAATTCCAAGTGGTGAGTTCTGTCTGCAGTGGCTCCTGCTCTGAAGCGCTGGGAGGTGGGAGGTTTGCTCCTCATCTGATTTCATTTCCTTTCATTGGAAAATGTTTGTTATTTTCACTCTGGCCAAAGTGACCAGTTATTATTGGAGGTTCCTCTGGCATCTCGCCTTACCCTAGTCTCTAGGTGGCAGTTGGTTAGGCCCATCGTTTTTTCCAGGATTGCTGTTTCCTCAACACAGTTGCAAGCCCTGCAAGGGCAGAGGCCCAGCCCTGGGCAGATGCCTCAGAGGGGCTGCAGGGGGCTTGTGACCCACACAGTCAGGCGGGCATCTTCCTGCACCCCCGCAGTCAGGAAGGTTTTGGTCTCCCCGTGCATATAAAAGTTATGTTTACATTATGCTACAGTCTGTTACCTGTGAAATAGTCTGTTAAGTGCATGATAGTACGTGTGCAAAAGTGTCTAAAAAACAATGTATATACCTTCACTTGAAAATAATTCATTACTGGGGCCTCCCTGGTGGCGCAGGGGTTAAAGTCTCAGCACTATTAAGCTATCGCCAGCCACTGAGGCATGAGTTTGAATCCTGGCCAGGAAGCTGACCCGCATGGCACGGCAGACCTCTCCTGCCTCAACCGCTGCTCCCCTCAGCAGTCTATTTCAGTAGATCCGCCTAGATCCGCCACTGTCTCTGGTGAATCTCTCACCCTCACCCCTGCAACTCTGGCCTATACCCCAGTTCTTGTATGCATAAATAAATTTTTGAAAAAGAACAATAATAATAATTCATTACTAAAAAGTGTGACACAGACACAAAGTGAATGTGTGCCCCTCAGTGCCAACAGACTTGCCCCACACAGCATTGCCACAAGCCTTTAATTTGTAAAAATGCGATATCCTCAAAGCACAATTAAGTAAAGCGCCATAAAACGAGGTACACCTGTATATCTTCCCATCACACCTGCACAAGATGGACACCCGGTTCTCGCCATTTCCTGAACTGGCCCCAGCGTACATTACTGCTGTTGAAAAATATGGCCACGGCAGACCTGGCTCGCTCTTTCTTTGGTTATGGAGGGTCTTGTCGTGACTGTGGTTCTTGATTATAAGCCTTGGTCATGACTGCATCATCCTGTCCATCTACCAGCTCAAAGATGCAGGACCAGCTTTGAAGGCAGGACTGATTGCACGGCCATGTCTATAGCCAGAGCACCTGGTGTGGCACACAGGCCCACTCCATAAATGTTTTCACATAGATTCACGAGTGAGTGAATTCGTGTTGCTCCTGTGGCATAACCTGAGACATGGATTTTCTTGCTTAAATCTCCCGTGGAAATTTGCTTTCTTGCATTCACCTTGGTTCACCTTTAAAATGGAGCGTGCGTAATGGGGCCTTTCCTCTGGGGCTCTTTAAATCAAAGTTCTGTGTTTTCATTTTTTATAATTAGTGATTTTTAACAATGCCTATTTACGATTGCTCTGAAAATGTGGCATATAATTATTTAAATTTTCTTAATGCTCAGTGACATGTTTGTCTTATAAACAGTGGTAGTAGTCTGCGGCATTTTTTTAATATATATTTTTAAATCATTTTTTATTTTTGCACAATGTATGCATTTTCATCTTGGTTATCGTCACCGTAAAATTCCCACCCCCCCTTGTTTTGATCCTACTCCCTTCTCCCCCCCCAACCCGTAGTGTGTCTTTGGTTTATAGTTGCTTGTTGATTTTGATTTTTACTTTATTATAATTAGTCTTTTTCCTGGTCCCTTATTTGGGTCTTCTAAATTCCTGCTATGAGTGAGACCATCCGGTATTTTTCTTTTTCTTTCTGGCTTATTTCACTGAGCAGGATCCCTTCCAGCTCCATCCATGTTGCTGCAAATGGCATTTTTGACATGCCTACTTCATAGGTCATTTCCATACTGTAATTTATAAACAGCTAAACTCTGGAAGTTTGAAATCAGTTCAAGGAATGTTTGAATGTTCCCCTGTCCCAGGGAGAAGGCCAGCATGGTCATCCCTGAAGAAAGAGAAGGCAGAGACGAGACAAACCTGGACCTAGCGAGGGGCTCCATGTCGAGCCAAGCTTCCGCCGACACGCGCCAGGCAGGTGAGTGTCCCCCGCAGCACCGGCACCCTCATCACCCAGGATGGACATGGTGGGGTTCTAAAGTTTCTTCAGAGGCCTGGTTTTTCCTCGAACCCCTCAAAGTTGAGGTCTGCTCCCATTCCCTAATTTGAGCTCTGCCATTTACCAGCCACGTGTCCTTTCAGGATCTGAGGCTCCTCTTCTGGAACACACGTGGAGTCATGTTCTGGGCCACCAACTTCGAAATTAGTTACAGTCCAGTATTGCTTTTGAATGTGGTTGGTTGAGACCCAGAATGTACTTTTGCAGAGAAACTTTTGTCAATGGTGACAAGGTTCTAACCTCTAGCCTGGAAAAGCCAGGAGATCTCAGAAGTACAGGAGTCACCTAGGGCCATATCCCCACGCCTCTTTCTCAGTCTGCGTGTGTCTTGGTACTTCTCACGTCAGAGGTGTGATGTGTGTTCAGCCACACCGCACACCATCTCTGTACCCCCAAGACACGCCGAGTTCCATGGTGCGGGAATAGTCCACTCCCCAGAACCCTCTCTGCCCAGGAGAGCAGCTGATAGCAGCCAGGTGACATGAGAAAAGCAGTGTGATTGCACTTACTTGACCTTCGGTAGGGTCACGCGCAGGTAAGGCAGTGGGCTTCAGGATGTAGTGCATTGAGGAGTTACCCAGGTGCTTGTGAAAACTGGTTCCCAGGCCTGGATCCATAGCACCCTGACCCGGTGGCTTTGCATCAGGGTCAGCGCCCCAGGGCCTTCTGCTGGAAGTGGTCCTTGGATTGGAATTTGGGAAACACTGACTCAGAGCATGTGTCTTTCTGGAAGCTCCTGTTCCCCAGATGGGCTGCTGACATGTCATGCGGAGCCACAGTGTAAGGCAGTGAGTGCGAGGGAAGATGAATGTGAGCATTCGGTGCCACACAGAAGGCTACTTGCAGAAATCTGTGCTTTTGAGTTCACCCTCAAGCCCATGTATTCAAACATTTCCTATAGCTGCAATAACAAATTACCACGAATTGAGTGGCTTGAAACAACACAAATTTGTTGTCTCACAATTCTGCAGTCCAGATGGGTTTCACTGGCTACTGTCCAGGTGTCAGCAGGGCCCGCTCCCCCGGAGCTCCGGGGAGAAGCCGTCCCCTGCCTCCCCCTCTCTGGCGGCCGGCCACCTGCAGTCCCCTGGCTTCCTGCCCCTCCACCCTCACAGCCAGCCACTCTGTCTGACCTTCCTTGCTGCCCCCTCACTGGGCAGGACGCTGGGCATGCCTGGCTAATCCAGACTATCTCCCAGCCGTAAGATCCTTAACTTAGTCACATCTGCAAAGTCGTTTTACCACGTGAAGTGCATCTTACAGGCTGCAGGGATTAGAGCATGGTCTTTAAGGGCTGTTTTCCCGCCATCAGCAGCCCTCGTGTGGTCCAGCAGCTCAGCATCACCTGGGCCTTGCTGGAAGCACCCAGTCCCCGATCTACTGAGCACAACCAGCCCTGCACCTCCATCTCAGCCATCCTGGCGCTGGAGCCGAGGAGCCTGAGCTGAGGGGCTCCTGCATCCCTGCTGCCTCCGTGTTGCCCTCTCTGGACTCACTGATGCAGCCCTAAGTGCTCCAGAAATGGCTCTGAGCGGTTCTTAAGGCAGCGAGCACTATTAAGCACCTACTGTGTACCAGGCTCTGTCCCAGGAACTGGGAGACCCTTGGTGGGTGTCCTTGGGGCCCTTGGGGCGCTGACGTGAAGGAGGCAGGGCCTGCGGGGGAACACGCACATTCTGAGTGACCAGTAAGGAGCGGCGAGGGCTTCTGGCCTTCCTGTCGCTCTGTGAGTTTAAGGGACGTTGCCCTGATGAACTGCGTAAAGAAAGCTTTTCAAAAATACAGAAAAACCGGGGAATAATCTCACGTGGCACCACGCGCCCCTGGAGGTGCGGGCAGGGGCGCCGCCCTGGCGCGGCGCCGGCCCGGGGTGTCCCTCTCTCAACGCCCTCCTCACCCCCCACCCACCCCCGCAGGCGGCCAGGAGCAGCCGGGCGCGCCGCCGCGCGTGGTGGTGGACATGCGCGAGTTCCGCAGCGAGCTCCCCGCGCTCATCCACCGCCGGGGCGTGGACATCGAGCCGGTGACCCTGGAGGTGGGCGACTACATCCTGACCCCCGACATGTGCGTGGAGCGCAAGAGCGTCAGCGACCTGATCGGCTCCCTGAACAACGGCCGCCTGTACAGCCAGTGCGTGGCCATGGCGCGCTACTACCCGCGGCCGCTGCTGCTCATCGAGTTCGACCCGCGCAAGCCCTTCTCGCTGAGCGCGCGCGGGGCCTGGCACCCCGAGGCGGCGGGCGCGGCGGTGAGCGCGCGGCTGGCGCTGCTGACGCTGCACTTCCCGCGGCTGCGCCTGCTGTGGTGCGCGTCCCCGCACGCCGCGGCCGAGCTCTTCGAGGAGCTCAAGCGCCACCGGCCGCAGCCCGACCCCGCGGCCGCCGCGGCCGTCACCGCCGACGCGGACTCGCTGCCCGAGGCCGACCGCTACCGGCCGGGCCCGCAGGACTTCCTGCTGCGCATGCCGGGCGTGAACGCCAAGAACTGCCGTGCCCTGATGAACCGCGTGGCCAGCATCGCCGAGCTGGCGCGCCTGTCGCAGGCCGAGCTGGCGGCCGTGCTGGGGAACGCGGCCAACGCCAAGCAGCTGCACGACTTCATCCACACGCCCTACGCCGAGCTGGCGGCCCGCGGGCGGCGGGGCAAGTGAGCGCCCCGGGAGGCCGGCCCTGCGCGCGCCCGGTGCCCCTCCGGTGCCCAGAGGCCCCCCTGAGCCTTGCCCTCGCCCCAGGCCGGCCCCCACCTCCCTGCGCCTCCCCGCGGCTTAGGGCGTTCCCTTTTGAATTGTGCCTGGAGCAGGTAACGTTCCTACAAGTGTTTTTAGGCCATTCCTGGAACAGGCAGGAGGAGTCTGTTCCCCCACACGAACTGACAGGCCCCTCAGCCGTGCGCTCCCCCTGTCTACGGGGGAACCTGCAACACTCAGAGAAGCTCTCGGCCCCCCTGCCAGACCACGTCCCCCCTCTGTGTTTCCCTCAACTCTGAGCCTCCTCCACCTCTGAGGACAGCTGTGGGCATGGGCCCCCCACCACACGCCGAGACGGCCTCGCCTGGCCCCGGCCGCTTCACTTTCTGGCCATCTGAAAATATGTGGCATGTCCTGTCACTTGGTTGTTCAAAACCAGTTTTAAAATACACAATGAATTACCCTTTTGCCAGAATGTGACAGTGTAAGTGAGGAAACCCTTAGAATTCTGTTTTTGCAGATATCCAGCCTCCTAAATACCAACCCTAAGGCCCAAATGTCACTCTAGTGACAGCGTCTCTCAGACCTCCTCTTCCCTGGCCTCCCAGCCTCTACCCTAGGACTTGGGGCGCCAAATAGGAGCTCCTCCTCCTCCCATCCCCAAGACCCACATTCCTGTGCTGGAGTCTCTGTGTGTGAGGATCAAACGCAAGCCCGCAAAGATGTTACGATGCAGTTTTCCTTCGCCGAGTTGAAATTAGAGGGTTGAAAGTAAAAGCAAAATCAACCATCCAGCACGGAAACATTCTGAAGAAATAGGTATGTATTTGAAAAGAGGTCAAAATAACAATCTCATTCTGAACCTCCTTCCAATTGACTTAGACTTAGCTTTGTACTGAGGTATACCCGAGGGGCATTCATAGCATCTTTGCGTAGTTTTTAAACTTTTATATTTAAACATTATTAAGTGTTCTTCACATATTTAATAATGAGTAGTAAATTTTCTACCTCAAGAGCTGATGTGAGTGTCAGCTCCGCTGGCCACATCGCACGGGTTCCTGGTGCCAGCCTTGCCTCCCCGGCCTCTCACCACCTGCGCTCAGAGGAGACGGTGGAGAGTAGCACACAGTGGTCTGGGCCTCAGCAGAAGTGCTGTCACCATCTTCTCCAAACCTCCTGACAGCTTGGTTTCTTGGCATGTGTGAGTTTTGATACCCAGCGCTGCAGGGATGCACCGAGGGGTTTATAGGAGCCACAGGAGTGATCAGGGGACTCTGTGCAAGGGTTTGAAGAGCAGACAAGGGGCAAACACAGGTTAGTTTAAGGTAGAATAAAGATTTAGGCTACAGTTTTGCCCCGGGTTAAAAATACACCTGCTAGAATAGAAAACAACGTGCCGGGTTCCTACAGTAACTGTCACTTCTGTAGTTATTTATTTCCGAATTCAGTCATAGTTAAAAGGCCATTTGAACAGACAGAGCACCTCAGAAGGTGATGGTCAATCTCATTTGCCTTCACCCTGTCCTAGCACCTCTGCTGGCGGCATGTGATTTCCTTTTTTCTTCCTTGTATAATCGTACCTGCCTTTTATTTTCCTTACGTGACAGTAGAGGAGAATCCTAACGTAGCACATTCTTGGATAAAGGTTTCGATCCAAGTCACGTTTTTAGAAATAAGCTCTTAACAGCTCCCAGTGAAAGCAGTCCTGTTATCTGGCACAGTGGAGGCTCCCGTATCTGGAGAGCCAGTGCCGTTTGGCCCTGCAGGTCTGGGGCCTCTTGGACATGTGAGGTCCAGGGCACATTTTGTGTATTTGAATTATGAACAGTAGCTCCTAATGAACTTGAACCCGGTCAGTACAGATGAAAGGCTGTCACTGCCACTTCCTCTCCCAACGAGGCAATTGTAATGTGTCTCTGGTGGTGGAAGGTTTTCAATCCATCCACTATGGATTTCCTTTTATCAACTTTGTTTTTACAAATGTTTACAACCTAGGAATCTTTGACAAGGGAACCGGAAGTGCACGCGCATGCAGTTGCAAAATCAATCTCATCTTCTTTCCTAGTATCTGGTTAACTTCGCTTTTTTCTTTCAAAATAGTAAATAGCCAGCTTACTCATGAACTCAGACTGAGCTTTTTAAAAACTTTTTAAAAATTGGCGATCAGCATTATTCTATTTTATAAGATTTTTGCATAAAGCCTTGAGCGTATGTGACTGTGAGAAATCATCTTCAGTTCTGTTTGTTTAAGTCACAGCGCCTCTCAATATTTCCTTAAAATTACACAAGAAGAAATCATTTTTAATAGTGGTCATAAATAGCGTCCTTTTGGCAACAAGTGGCTGTTTCTTCGGCCCGAGGCTCATAGACTGGATGTCTGCAGAGGTCTGAGTCCACCCAGAATGCAGTTTCCCAGCTGAGGGACTGAAAATAATTGTGCCGTTCATCATCCCACTAAGACACCCGGGTAAGTCTAGGTCGGCTGCGTTGAGATAAGAGTGTCGAATTAATCATGGACCTTTTGCAGGAAAACCTTCTCCAACACAAATCAGAAGCAATTGGGTGAGGGGAGGGAGTCAGGCATTTTGGGCCTTTGCTTTTGTTTTTCCAGCGTAATTTGATTTTGTCTTGGCTTAGGAAACTTCTGTAGGGAAATTCTCTTTTCTCTTTTGTGTTCAGCTTAACCCAGATGTGTCCTCTTCAAGAGAAACATTTTAGGAAAATTCTTTTCTCAGACCTGAAGACATCAAAATTTATCCAGACTTAACAAGAGTTATCATTTTCCTGCATTATTTTGCTTTCTATTTTGGTTTGTAGCTATTTCCTGTCTGAGCTTGAACGTCAGTACTATTAATTTGTTGTCTTTATCAACAAGTTTTTGGTGGCGCACACCCCTGATTTTTTTGTTTTCACTTTAAGAGTATGTATGACAAAATTTAGCTGGGAGAGAGACAAAATTGATTTATATCAATTTGTAACAGTTGTATTTGTGCTTTTAATAAAATGTGTATTTATTCAGTTTCTTCCTCAACTTTCTGCAGGCAAAGCCAAAATAACAATGTAGAGAGAAAAGGCCTATATTTCCAGTGCACTGTATTTATCAGTGCCTTGGTAAATATAATTAAAAATTCAGAGAATACTTCACTTGTTTTTCCTCTTGCTGCATCGAATAAATGTTTAAAGCCAAGCCCCTGCCTTTGTGTTTGTCATGGCGGGAGCCCACTTTCCAAGGCTCCAGCTTAGAGTTTTTTCTTTTGTTTTTTTGCCCCCCCCCCCCCAGAGTTTTTCATTTTGTAGCATGTCTGCTTGAAAGGGAGGAGGGGGAGGGGGTGGATTTCTTTTCCTTCTGAAGGTACTTATTTGTTGACTTGCAGTGAATGTATGGTAAGCACAATGCCTGGGACATCTTAATTCAAAAAGTAATTTCCTGCCACCCCTGACTCATCATTTTTCTTCCTTTACGTCATAGTTGAAAAAAAGCGAATTGTCCTTCCTTTTAGATGCCTCAGAATCTGTTGCAATCTCTTCAACATATTTAATATTAGCTTACTGATTGACTCATTTTGACGTCTTATTTTTGCTTCTGCCTTAAAATGTAGAACTAAAGGGGTGAGACAGGTTATTTCTCAATATGTTTTAATGTCAGAATAAAGAGGTTGGCAGAATAATGAACACTTTCTTAGTAGCAGTAGAATGTCAGTTAAAATGGAGGTCCAGAGAGGTTAAGACATTTGCCCAAGGTCACCCAGTAAAAAATGGTAGAACCATGATTAGAACTCAAACCATCTGAACCCCAGAACCCATGATGACACTGGGGTGGGGGTGGGGGGACAGGAATGGGCCACTGGTTTGTGTCAGCTTTTCCTCTGTCTAGTTACAAATCTCTCATAGAATAAACAAATTGGTTTGTTTTCAAAATGCCTCTCTCCGATAACAGTGTCAAAAGCAAGAACAGAAAACTTAGAATCAGGCCAAAGAGAATTCGAGAGAGCGTGCACACTCTCTCCAAACAGAGGAGTAGAGCCAGAGCAGTGGAGAGTGACCTCCCAGCAGGGGCTGCCCGCAGACTCTGGTTTTCTGGAGTGGTGAGCCTTTTTATGACTAAGATCATTGTTTTTTTACCTTAAAAGAAAACTGCATTTTTTAATTTAGGTTCTGAAATGATCACTGTTACTCTCTTCTAAATTTACAAGTTGGTGATTATGCTGAAACACTATCTTTTCTATAATAAAACCCAGATCTTAGGGTTATTTTGGCAACCTTTCCAAGTCTGCAAGCATCAGCCCTGTGAGATTTGGACAAGTGAACAGTCTCCATATGAATTCAAAGAGTTGAAAACAAAATGTCTAAAATCTTATTTATGACCTAAGTATTTAAAAGCATAATCCTTAATGCATTTTGTTTTCCTTGGGCTTCCGTTTTCCCTTTTTCTTTGTATTTTTTATTGCGGTAACACTGCTTGACAGCACCGTATATGAGTTAGAGGTACAGGACCACACCCTTTTAGTGTATTACCTGCACACCCACCAGCAAGGCACCCACAGTCCTGCACCACAGTCTTGAGAGTCCCCTTTTCTGCTCCTCCTCTGGTAGCCTCAGTTCTACAGTCACAATTCTAGGGTTTGTTTTGGTTTGTCTCACCCTCTCTATATTCCACATATTAGTGAAACCATCCAGTATTTTTCTTTCTCCTTCTGATTTACCCCATTTAGCACATTCCCCTCCAGTTCCAACCATGTTGCCACAAATGGCAAGAATTCATCTCCTTTGCAGCTGAGGAGTATTCTGTTGTGTAGATACACCTCATCTTCTTAATCCACTCGTCTGTCATTGGGCACTTAAGTCGTTTCAGTCACTTGGTTATTGTAAATAGTACTGCAATGAACACAAGAGTGCATGTATTCCTTCACACTTTGGGTAGATATGTAACAGGGTGGTTCTCTCTGCCCTGTAACAGATACCTA